GGATAAAATTTCACGTAAAGTTAGGAATGGCACAGTTTCGAGGTAATTTTGGCTAATTGAGGACCCGCCGCGTCGTTAGTTTTAATACGTTTTCCGATCGTTCCTCCAAGATCGGACCTCCTCGGCGGCAACCCGGCTACTTTTTCAATCAGAGACCTCGACGCCCGGCGCCAACTTCTGCGTCAATTTGCGTCTCGAACCGGTGGGACTAATTTCGCGTACGTGTCCGATTAGACATCAAGTCCTCCGTATCTCCAATTCTCCGTCGTCGCGACGGACACCACGAGCGAATGAGCACGTGTACGTACGTCCACGTGTGTGCGTGCGCGCGTGTGTGTGTGCACTAGCGCTGCCACTCGCTCGCGACTGGCCGGTTTGCCGATGCTAACGAGACTTCCTGCGTCCCCCGAGAGACACATTGCGTAGCCGCGTACGTGATTCACCCTGGAGCGTCTGTTTAACCGGGACGCAGTCACGCGACGTAACTAAGGATATCTCTGTCGAATGAGAATACCTCCGCTCGACTCTTCGGCCGAGGGACGAGGGCTGTTGATGTTTAACACCCCGAGTATCGATCGGCGATCCCGCGTGTACACCTTTCTTTCGCAGTTATTATCGGTTTCGCATAAATTATTCCATCGTGCATTTACCTATGCCGTTACCACTGACAAGTTCCCCGTCGACATTGTGGCGCGAGTTTACTTTAACGGTTACTACATTTCCGGTTCTATATCAAAATATTTATGCGCGAGTACATACCGTGTGCGACTACATGATAAAAATAAACGCCGTGGAGTTTCGCAACACGATATAACGGGAAGCAAATATTCTTATTTAAATAAAACGAAAAAAAAGAGAGTGCGACAGATATTTGTTTTTCATTTCTATTGCATTTCTGCAGGACTTACACTTCGCCGGATGCAAATTTCAAATTTTATTCCTTATACAATAAATTAGTAAGGGCGAGTTTCACAAACGTCGGTTTGTTGAATTAATTCCTCGTCTCTTCATATCAGATAATAAGATAGAGTTAGGGAGTCGACTGAGCCCTGGTTAACAGTTAACCGACGTTTATGAAACTAGCCCTGAACAGGGTTGGCCGGAAAAATCCAGGGGGTAGAAAAAACCATGGGAAATTCCAATTTTTACCGTTCCGGACTTTATCCAATGGAATAAATTGGCAAATATTATAAAAATAACTAACACTTAATTAAAATATATATATTTTACGAGATATATATTTAACGAGAACTTCGGAGATACTAAATTTTAGATAAATTTTTAGTTTATGCGGGAAACAATACTCTTTTTGCAGTGCTTTCTAAAAGTTTTCTACTCATCTTATCGTTTTTAATAGAGAAGACCAGTTTTTGCCGGTTTTTCCACTGGCATGGACTTTATCCAAAAAAATGTGGAGTTTTGCCAGCCCTGGCAAAAAAATCCTGGCCCTAAAGGTCCATTTACACATACTCGTGACGTGTCAGAACCGTATCAATGCCGTGTCAGTGATGTTCGTGATAAATCAGTGACGGTTATTCGCGTCTATCCATGCAGTTTGGATTCGGTGATTTTCAAAGTGGCTCAAGTTTGCGGATAACGAATTGGCAATAATTGTTATAACTTGAGATGAAGCGAATAAGATTAAACGGCCCGAATACGGGACTGTGCCGGACGTGTGTAAACACGTCCATTAAAAAACAAGAAAACAATATTTGTTATCACTGATACTGATGAAAATTCACAGAACTGAACGGACACGTCACACGGCCAAGTGTAAGTGAACCTTAATTCGACTAGTGATACGACTAGAGGTCCTCTATATTTCATCGCTAGAATATGTATTCGTATATTATTAGAGTGGTTTTATATTCAGAATACTGCAAACTTTATTTTGCACTCTTCGACTGTAAAAAAAGTATCAATATCGATAAAATCGATCGATTGATACAAGCAGCAATGCATTGCAGAGACATGTTTGTGCTTTCATTTCATATATTTGGATACCACGCTATTTATAAGACGAGGCAATATCCGAAAATACTTGGAAACATCGAATGTAGATTCTCGGGAATTGATATGTAACTGATACTTGGTTCGCACGTTATTAACAATAGCAAACACATTAATAAAATGGAATGTACATAGCAAAATAATTAATTAACCGCTTATCGAATCGTCAGATCATTTTGTCGTAATTTTCAAGTTTCTTCACTTGTTAGACAATAAGTCATTTTCCAAAAAATTAACTTCTTTTAGAGAATATTCATAGTTAACGCCTATCAGCGCGTATTCTTTTCATAATAAGACTGAAGTACTTGCTGTTAGAACAACAGCGAGTTGAAACGTTGATACACCTTTGCGCGCAAATTTGGAACAATAAACGGTAAATACAGGTACAAACTTACTTTTCGTTAAGACCACGGTTAGTCTAGTGGGAAAAGTGGGAAGCAAGGAAACGCGTGACCGAATACTACAATCTTAACTGAAATTACCTCTACAAGTAAATACTTACATGTAAACCTACCCAAGTGGGAACACACCGATTTTGATGAGTGTTGAATGTGTTGGGTAATTATTTAGATTAACACACCCAC